CGCCTAAAACTATCTAATAAAAACACCTGAAAATCCCTGATCTGATATAAATTTAACCCTGATTAATAATAAATTTAGTTAACTGAGATATCCTCCTACTGCAATTGTGTCCTATTTGCTTGAATTTTGAAATTCTAATCTGTAAACAAAATATTGTCTCAACCAAATACAATTTATCCATCCCTAACCTCTTTGTAATAACCTAAAACTAAACGATGGGGATTTTTTCAGTGAAGTGAAGACTCAATCCGATGAATGATGGCAGAACAATACACACAAAAGGAAAGTTCCTACCTTTGGTACGACAGCAACCGAAAACCTGATGTCAAAATCTTCGCAAAGGAAGTTCATGCGTGTATTTCATTCTATGAAGATCTTCTCGCAAAAGTTGTAACACGCGCACGACAGTCAGAAAGATCTAAAACAGTTACAAAGAATTGTTATAACGTATCCTACTTGACAGCCACTTATTTTAAATTACCGGTGTTTAATGATTCTATAGTTTTTTTGGTCCCACAACTATAGGATGATGAGTAATGTAATAGTATTAAAAAACATAGTAAAATATAATTGACGCTTCCACCATGTTCCATGATTGTTTGTTTCTCAACAGCTATCGCCAAACTATAGAGGAGAACTTGATTCCAAACCTATCCTTACTAAATGTTCCATCCATATTGTCCAACAGGTTATAGTATTTTATTAGTTTGGTGTTTTGCTTCACCACTGACAAGATTGTTCTTGAACCTCATACGGGAAAAAGATCAGCTCAATATGGCCAGAACCTTAAAAAGCGTTAAGAGACCTTTTAAAGTGTCCATGTATTTATCAACTATTTACTTATTTGTTTCAAACAGTAAATCACGTGTAGGATAGTTACCGTCTGGGACGAAAGTGTTTGAGGATCCTGACGTTGGACGGAATACAGCTGCGTTAAATCTCATGCTATGGTTTTGTTAAGACTGGCAGACACCACAGTGATAAGCCTGCAACAAGGCACGTCAAGGTGTTAAAAGGATTAACACACTTACAATTAAATACATACGTTTCTTGTAAAATCAACCAAGTCTAGAATTTCATTTACAATATAACTTTATTTACCTATTGTACTTTGACATATATACTGATTTTTCTGATTATTCGGGACAAACACCAGTACTCGGTTAGATAATTTAAATATATCATGAGGTCTATTTTAATTGTTAAATTTTTTCCAAATAATACATGGGTTTAGTATTTACATACTACATATTTATACTAAACAAGTTTACTGTTTAGTAATGCTGATTTGTAAATTCATTGTGTATCGTATACTTAACAATATAAAAATTTAGTTATGAGAAATATAAAAAATTACCTCCGAATGATAAAAAAGACAGCTGATAATAACATCTTCTCGAAGGATTTGTTCATGCTTGGAAGTACGTAGTCCTATTACTTGCTATGAGGTTTTCTCGCAAAAGTTCACACCCACTACAATCGGCAATATCTGAAACATTCCCACGAACTATTAAATGGAATCCTATCCTATCTTGACCAGAACTTACTTCTATTTACCTGTGTTGTGTGATTCAATCTGTGTCTGTCTATTAGTATAATTTGTAAAAATCAATATTAGTTGCTTCAAAAATTCCAAGGTCTTGACTTCCAAAGAGACAGATTAATTTTCGACAGTTCTTGTTGTAAGTAGTAATTCAAAACATGAAATAGAATTTTTCACCTACAATCTTATTTGCTGATATCCATTCTTTCCATTGTAGTAAACTCACAGCATGACTACTTCAAAATATTCCATGATTTAATCTCATGGAGCAAAGTAATGTGTGGTCTCAGATCAATGTAGCAATATAGCCATAAATGTTGGCAATTACTATTATTGTGCTTTAGAAAGATTCCGTTTATCTATTTACATAAAGATTGTTTTACCCTATGATTATTATATTCCTCGGGTAGATAAGATACTTACATAGGTAGTAGAATACAGCTCCCTCCCTCTCTGATGACGCCTTGATGAAAGCTCGCAGGATGGTGAGAAGAGAGTAAGGAAATCATGTCAGTGGGTTGGAATAAGGTGCAAGGGATACTTTGGTTAAAGGACACCCGGAATAGGGAAAGGAGCCTAGACAAAATGTTTTTGAAATACCCCTTCTCTCTGACCCCAAGGACCCCCTCGGCCATGTTCGGTTGGAGGGCCTCCCGTTTCTACCACAATGTTACCGTAGTATGGCAGGGCCGTAACACAAGCTTAAAGTGCATATTACTAATCAAAACCTGTTTTCAAAACTCAAAATACAAATTTTGAATTTAATTAAATGTATATCGCACGGTTTATGAGTTTTGAAATTTTGTAAGGGCCGAAGCCCATTTAACCCTCCTTACCACCCCTGGCAAGAATCTTAGAAGTTTAATCATGCAAAACCTGACATAGGAATCTAGTTTTACATCCCTTTTAACTTACCTTACTAATACCTCCTTGGCAATTCAATCAAGGTTTTAGTCCTTGCCAACAAGTTGCCTCCACTATTGCCTGTCTGCTGTTTATTGTTACCATTAGATCAATTAAAAATAGCTGTTAAGAATTTGTTATTATTGAATCACTGTTTTTAGACCTAAAATAGAATATTTTGACATGTAAAGTATTTTATTATTTGTATTGTTTGTTGACTATATTGACACAGCCTACACAGAATTAAATGATTTCTGTTGATTGGTGTCTCTGGTACGTATATAGACTGATTTGATTTGGTCAATTGATGTCCCCATACCCCCCCACTTACTGGCTTTGCTTAAGTAGATAACCCTTGAGAGTTATATTATTGCTTTTCATGGTTAAACTTCTAAAACTTTTACCAGGCTACTGAAAAAATATCTTAATAATACACATAGCACAAAATATATATGTCTATCCTAAAACTACCCCCTAACTTAAAGAAGGCGTATCAATAACACCTATTTATTAGAACAAATATAAAATTTTAATTTATGTAAAACTACACAACTTACGCCTACTTTTTTATGCATGATTTTCTTGTTGTTTTTCTTCTTTTGATTCTTTAAACTTATATTAACAACCAAATCAACTATCCAACTTTATGACTTATATCTGAAATCGCGTCAAATCGACATTCATTTGTATGTTCGTGCAACAATATATATGATGATTTGAAACTGGGCATGGAAATACATAACTACACACACACACAAAATGAAGCATCTTGAATTTGAAGATCCACTCGAAGATGTCTTGTAGAGGAGGGCCTGATACTAACCTATCATAACTAATAATGTGTTTGTAATATAATAATTTTTGAACTATCTTCCTAACACTCTATCTGATAAAAAGAACCTGAAAATCCCTAATCTGTTCTAAAGGCCTATGGCTAAC